AGGAAGCTGAACTAGTTTAAGAACTTAAATAACATTTGACATCCCCATTCATTATGGCTTATCCCTGGGTTCTTCCAAAAAGATCACATAGGTCCTTGTGGTATCAAAAAATATATATATATTTGGCTTTTGTCCCCAGTTTGGTTCCTGGCACAGAGCTCCTAAAACTTTCGGAATTTCCTGAGTGGTTGAAGGGTTTTTGTTACTCATAACAAGTCCCTTCCCCTCATAACTGAGTTTAAGTTAATGAAGTTATTCTTGATGTCCCATATTTAGTTTCAGGGGAGGGGCTCTCTGGGCTTAAAAGTTGGATTTTCAATGCCCCCTGCCCCCCACCCTCAACACACATCTCAATGGAAGGGACAAGTTTGAGTCCCACCAAGTCAGTGATCCAATCAGCCACGCCCATGAAATGGAACTTTGATACCAACTCTGGAATGACAAGATTTCGGGGAGCTTCCGGGCTGGTAAACAGGTTGATTTGCTGGGAGGCTGGTGCTCCTGGCGAAAGTGCTGGACTTCTGCACCCAACCTTCACCCAGCCGCTCCCCAGGCATCGCTTCTATTGACCTGTTCCTGGTTTGTATCCTTCAGAATAAAACTGTTTTTTGTAAGTACAGTGCTTTCCTGCATTTCGTTTGTTTGTTTAGTCAATTATTGAACTTGAGATGAGGTCGTGGTAACACCCAAATTTGTAGCTGGCCAGGCAGAAGTGTGGGCAGCCTGGACACCCGCTTTGTGGCTGGTGTCTGAAGTGGAAGCAGTCTTGTAGGACTGAGCCCTTGACGTTTGAGGTCTGTGCCACCTCCGCGTAATTAGTGCCAGAATTAAATTGAAATGTAGAACACCCAGTTGATGTCAGAGCATTGGAAAACTGGGTGTTGTTTGAAAAAGCAGAGTCCTTATCAAGCTTTCCTGTGAAATAATACTGTGTTGTACTTTTTGTACTTCTTGAATGAGAAACTCTATAATGCCCAAAAGCTTACAATGAATCTCAGTCATGGTTTTAAACTAATGTGGTTTTAACTTAGAGCTGCAGTCTATTTGGGAGAAAAACACAAGGGGGAGACATTGTTCAGGCTAAGACAATGCATGGGCACACATAAGTTTGTTTTTACCTTTTCAAATGGGAGTACTTAACAGTGATGTCAAAGTAAAAATATGACACATCTTTGTGAACCATGAACTATACACCGTTTACAACTTTACAGCGTTCAAAAATTTGTTGAAAAGATAGTGTGTTATCTCCTATGGGGCAGGAAACTTGTCTGTATCGTGTGTCCAGAACAGAGGTTGACTGAATAAAGGATGAAGTAATACAGGAAAACAAATCCAGAAAATGACTATAATGCAAAATTCACAGGATTTTAACAAAATACACAAGACTTCAGTGAAATATCAGGCTTTCTCTAGGCTGTGTTAGATGTGGTAGGTTGAAAAATGGTCCTTCCCCCCAAAATGTGGAGGTCAAATCCCTGCAACCTGGGAATGTTACCTTATTTGGAAAACTGAGTCTGCAGATGTAATTTAGTGAAGGACCTAGAGATGAAATCATCCTGGATTTTTCAGCTGGGCCCTAAATCTAATCACAAGTGTCCTTATCAGAGAAGGAGACATGAAGAAGGAGGCAGAGACTGAAGTGATGTGGCCACAACCAAGGAACACCTGGAGCACCAGAAGGTGGAAGAGGAAGGACATGAATTCCCCCTTACAGTTGCCTCTAGAAGGAACACAGCGCTGCCATATTTCGGACTTTTAGCCTCCAGAACTGTGAGAGAATAGATTTCTGTCCTTTAAGTCTGTGGGAATTTGCTACAACAGCCCTAAGACAACTAATACAATAGCTGATCACTGAGAGCTCACAATCACGCTCTTTTTAAAGTTTCTTTGGAGGAAGCATTTCCCAAGGTTCCTAGATGTCTAAGGTCCACAGGTTGGACCCACTCTAGAGGACCTCCCAGAAGGCCCTTTCAAGTAGAAGATCTCATCATTTACTGATCTGAGTGACTTTCAACGCTAGGAAGCGGAAAACCCTGCTCTTGATGTCAAACACAATGTGTGAGCTTTAACTGACAATTTAAAGAATAAAAAACAAGTTTGAAAGAACATTCAAAGATATGTCAATTCTTTTAATTGATACTATGTTGAATCTTGAAAAAAAATTGTAGAACTCCTAAGGCTGTATTTACCAATATATTCTTGATCTACCTATACTGGCCATCCCCCATTATGTTCACACATTAAATGAACAGCCCACATCTTCATGTATCATTGCAGACATCACAATTATGACCAAAAATCATCACTTCTGTAGCTACCCAAAGAAGTACAAAGCAGTTGAAGATGATGAATATATCATGCTTAATTCAGGCATAACCCTTTTGTCTGAAGTACTCTCATTTGGGAACCCCTTTTTAAAAATCTGTCCAGTGAATTCTGTGCTTAACACAGGCCATCTATACTAAATTAAAATTAAATTGTGACATGATTGTTTCACCTCACAATACACAATTGGAGACAATAAGGAAAAATTCTACAACAAAACAAAACAAAAAATACAGTAAATTTCCTAAATAGCTGTCTTTTGATGAAAAAAAATCCAAAAACACAAAACCACACATTGTAGATAACCACATATCTTCATTTTTTAATTTAATTTTGGATTTATGAAGAATGACTTTACACCTTTTGGGGTATTTGTTTTTGCAACCAATTTTCATCCTTTTATGAAGTAATGAAACATGGCCCACTTGAAAGTAGGGAAAGAACTCTCAGAACTAAATCTTAAATTTAGCTAATTGAGCATGAAGGATCAAAAAAGGTCTGAATTTTTCTAATAGTTGTTTAGAATTTTAGACATACCATTTGACCTTTGACCTAAACAAATAGATTTCAACGTCCTCAGTAAATAAAGGCCGACCCGCCTCTTCTTATACAGCCACGCACAAAGGGCTACTATTACCGTGACTGACACAATCCTGTCATTAGCAGCACTCAAAGCCATAGGGAACACTCCTGGGCTATTTTAAGTTTTATTTTCTAATTTTATTTTGAAAACACAATCTTTGTTTTCTTTGGAATGAACGTTCTAAATTGGATGGCTTTTTTTCTAAAATCCAATATTCCCATGATTTATATGAGTTCTCGATCAACGGCCGAATTTTGAGATGACACCTTTACGCTCTGATTTCACCAACACAAAAACCTGTCCGATAGGAAGTTGCGCTGATGCTGCCTTCCTATGTAAACATCCCAGGCACTTTGATTCCTTGTCGGACACTCATTATTTTTCTTCTCCGTTTTGTCAGAATGTTGGCCACAATCCCCAAGAACTATCTCCACGTGCCTGTGAGCCTTCATGAGCGTCCCTAACTCTAAAAGGAACAGGTGCGGGGCTTGGATGAACCTTGAGACATGCAGGTGAGGCCTCGGCGAGGACTCCGACAGCTGTTCCCAACTGGGCGGGGACTCGCGGGACCCAGCTTTTCGGGCGCCCGGACAGGGAGGAGCCGCCGGCCTCACAGAGACCGGCGCCCGCGCGGGCAGCCCGGAGGGGCGTGGCCGGCCGGCGGGGGCGGGGCGGGCTAGCGGGGGCCAGGCCGGTGGGCGGAGGCGGTTTCTGCGGGGGCGGGGAGGGGGCGGGGCAGTCGAACGGGGGTGGAACCGGCGGGAGGAGGCGGGGAAGGGCGGGGAGGGAATGTTCCCTAAGCGCTCAGGTTGACTTAAGGATCACGTGACTCTCAGGTTGCAAATACCTGTCTTGTTCGCTTGTACCTCCCCTCCCCCTCGGTTGCTAGGTAAAATACAAGATGCTCTAATAAATTGGTATTTCAAATAAACAGCGAATAATGGTTTGGTTTAAGTATATACCAAATATTGCACGGGACATATGTAGGCTGAACAGTTATTCGCTGTTTATTTGAAATTCTAATTTAACCGAGCGATCTTCATTCTCATTTGCTAAATCTGGCAACCCTGCGGCAGGAAGTGAAAGTGGCGCTTTCTACCAAATCGCCAAGTCTTTGAGGATAGGACGGTTGCCTATTCATGCTGAAGTCGTCCTTGGCTGGAGCGAGGACGGTGAATACCCGCGGCTCCCAGGCCTGTGGTGCGAGACCCATTGCCCAGACGGATGCTCTGCCCACCTCACTCCCGCGCGGCTGGTCGGGGCTGTCCTGTCCGCTCGCCTATTTGTGCATCCATCCCTCTGTCTGGGAGTTTCTTCCTAATTCCTTGATCTGATAACTCCTACCAGTTTTACAAGACTCCAGGAACTCTTGATTAACCTTCTATGCTAAACTAGAGAGCCCCTCCGGAAGGTGCCGATCATATAGTGTAACTGTTTGACAGGTCCTTGAGGCTCTTTGTGTTCTTCCAGTGATACGTATCCCTGGGGCATTTCGCCTGTTTAGCACATAGTAGGTGCTCCATAAATGTGGCATGGCTAGTGGCTGCTTCATCAATGAAACGTTTATTGAACACTTGCTGCTTTCTCGACTAGAATTGGAGAAAAGTGCCTTCCAGAAGCTTTCTCTTTTCTTTGGTAAAGAAGAGGATGATGTTTCAGAATGCACCTCCCACCTCCTCTCTTAGTACCCAAGAAAGCATTGTCTTATGAAAGTTCTACTGGAATTCCTGCTTCCAGAGTAGATGCAAATAGTAGATGGTTTAGGGATGATAATTAAATGCTGGAATTGAGATGAAAAGGACGTGTTTTCTTAGTTGATAAGACAAATAGATTTCTGTGTTATTCCACCCTTGCACCCCTTAATCTCCCTTTTCTGTTCTGGAGGCTAGTTAGAGAAGCACACAGGCCCTTTTGATATTAGTAAACAAATACTTTGTAAACTGATATTTTGTACTGATAATAAGTAAAACTTTTTTCTCTTTCATAAGTTTGGATATATATTAGCATATCGGGTTTTCTTCAAATGGATCTCATCTGATATATTGTCTTTAATGTTTAATAAACTGCACTGCCTTTTAAAATTCCTTTTAGGATGGGGAACAGCACATCGTCATCTTTGGGGAACACAGCAACTACTCCCATGAATCAGATCCAAGTGAGTGATGTGGGACATGTAGGAAAAAACTTTCCTTGGTGGAAAAAGAATTGTCTTACACATTTAATATGCTTATTCTGTATCGAAACCTGTCATAGTGCAGCAAATGAATTATTAAGTTATTATATATTTTAAAATCTGCTATCAAAATCATGCATGTGACAAAGAAGTTCTAGATCATTTTGTTAGTCAGAATTTATGAGATTTATTCTTTTGTTTTTTTTGACCATGCTGCATTGCTTGTGGGATCTTAGTTCCCCAACCAGGGATCGAACCTGTGCCCCCTGCAGTGGAAGTGCGGAGTCCTAACCACTGGACCGCCAGGGAAGTCCCTATGAGATTTATTCTTAATGGAGCCTTCGCTTCCCTAAGCTGGATCTATGTTGTTGCCTGCTCTTACCATCTCATCCAATGCAGGTCTACTGTTGATACCAGTCAGGCTGCCCTTACCCAGGGATAGTGTTTGGTTCTGGTCTGGGAAGCTGTTTCCCTAATACAGAACCTAGTTTGCAGTAGTTACTCTATGACCGATCCTCTCAAGGATACTGTGCACTGCTGTGTTCTCTTGTCTTTCTCTTGCTTGCACTGCGAAGCCCAGTTAAGTCTGCCTCAGAGAATGCCTCTTGTGTGTATGTTTCTGTTCCCTTGTAGCCCACAGGACATACTCATTTGTCTGCTCCTCGCCACCAAACACCACTTCACACAAACATTTTTGCCTTTATTTGGCTACAGAAGTATCCACCCACAGCCATTGAATATAACAGTAATGTTGGAGACCTATAGTGAGGGATTGCCTCTTTTAAAATAAGAATAGAGGGGCTTCCCTGGTGGCACAGTGGTTGAGAGTCCACCTGCCGATGCAGGGGACACGGGTTCATGCCCCGGTCCGGGAAGATCCCACATGCCACGGAGCAGCTGGGCCCGTGAGCCATGGCCGCTGAGCCTGCGCGTCCGGAGCCTGTGCTCCGCAACAGGAGAGGCCACAACAGTGAGAGGCCCACATACTGCAAAAAAAAAAAAAAAAAAAAGAATACAAAACCATGGTGAGGTGGGAGACTTCCCTGGCGGTCCAGTGGTTAAGACTCTGCACTTCCACTGCAGGGGGCATGGGTTCAATCCCTGCGTGGAACTAAGGTCCTGCATACCGCGTGACTCGGTCCAAAAAAAAAAACAATACAAAACCATGAACTATTTAGCAAGGACGAGGTTGAGAAAAGGTGAGAAGGAAGGTTCAAGAAACTTGGACACTGTCACCTTGAGTTTCGGCTCACTTTGGAATCTCTCCATCAGTGTTTGTACTACGTCTCAGCTGCCAGGGTGCTCCTCTCTCTCTGAATTATGGTCCATGTGTCTCTAACCCGAGGCCGCACAGTGAGGAAGCTGCACTGACTTTGGTGTTGGGACAGGTTGGGTGGCATCCCACCCAGTATTGTGAACTTCCCAACCTCAGTTTTCTCATCTATAAAATGGATTCAGTAGTACATCTCTGGTGTGTCTGGCTCTCCCTGAGATAGACTTCTGTAGTAAATATTACGAATGAGCAGATGAGAAAGCATAAAAACAGACCAATCTACAGACACCTAGACACTGACCTAGAACCCTTCTGACACCCAAGGGCAGATATAACTTCTGAAACACTTTGCCTGGGTGCTCTACTTTCTGATTTTTGGTCTTCTTGAAGGTGCTGCTTATAACCCACATTAGGACAGCCTAGGCAGATGCCTAGGTGCCAGACATGTCCATTCAGAAACTCTTGAAGTACCTGGGCATTGATATGTCTAGGAACACAAAGCTCAACAAATTTCACAGGTGACGCAGATGCATAGCAGAGTCTCAGGGTCTTTGTGATAAAAGCCTGGAGAGCAGCCTCCAAACCAGGCTGATTCTGATATCCAGAATCATCTGGAAAGGTTTTTCAAAAATAGCTTGTGACCTCTGCCTCAAACCCATTGAATCAGTCTTTCTGGAATTAGCATTTCCAGGAACAACGCTGTGAGAAGACCTTATCAAAACAGTAATGACTTTTTTTGTTTTGTTTTTTTTACTATAAAGATACACAAGAAGGAGTGGAAGTTGAGGGGTAGGGTAAGCTGTTGTTTACATCTGGATCCGTGAAAGCTTTACATTTTAAAGAGAAATCATACATCATTTCTCACCACTGAACATTTAGGAAATGGTGATCATTTTGTAAAGTATAAAAATATCGAATCACTATGCTCTACACCTGAGACTAATATAATAGTGTAAATCAGTTATATTCCAGTTTTAAAAATAGCGAAGAAGGGAATTCCCTGACAGTCCAGTGGTTAGGTTAGGACCCCACGCTTCCACTGCAGAGGGCACGGGTTCGATCCCTGGTGGGGGATATAAGATCCCGCAAGCTGCATGGTGCAGCCAAAAAAAAAAAAAAAAAAAAGGCAAAGAATGGTTAAGGGGGTAAAAATAATAAAAAAAATAATTAAAAATTAAGAAAAAAAGTTAAGGATGTTAAGGAGTTAACTCCTGAACACCTGAATATTTGAGAAGCAGTATAGCAGTATAGCAGAGATTAACTACCTGGGCTGTGGCATCAGACTTGCCTGGGTTCAAATCCCAGCTCGCCCACTTCTCAGCTGAGGACCAGGGGTAAGTTATTTCCCCTCCTCTGTACCTCAGTTGCCTCATCTGTAAAGTGGAGGTGATGATAGCACCTATCTCAAGACTGTAGTGAGGTTTAAGTGAGCTAGTAAAGGTAAAGTGTTGAGAGTTGTGTCGGCACACAGACGTGTCTGCTGCATGTGAATCGGTTGTGATTATTGGTGTTATTACTCTTTGCCAACACTTTCCACCTGTCACATCCTTTTTTTCCTAATAATGTTTCTTTGTCCTCAATCCACGATGAGAAAACGGATGGCGACTGAGTTTGAGCCCTGAATTGTGAGACTCCAAAATCCATACCCTTTCTACTGTGTCATGATTCCTTTCTGAAAGATAATGTCTAGAATTCAAATGATTTTTTGGTTCTGGTTTGTTTTCCTTCAGGAAACCATTTCTAATAATTGCGTGGTGATTTTCTCCAAAACTTCTTGTTCCTACTGTACAATGGCAAAAAAACTTTTTCACGACATGAATGTAAACTACAAAGTGGTGGAATTGGACATGCTTGAACACGGAAGTCAGTTACAAGACGCTCTTCACGAAATGACCGGTGAAAGAACTGTGGGTACATCCACTGTGGTGCTTTGCCCCGAAGTGGGGACTGAGTTGGGTCACCTCGGGTCTGTGCCCTCATGATGGGAAAAGTGAGCCAGACATACTCTGAGAATCTTAATTGATACAGAAATGGCAGATCTGGAAACCAGACTCATAGACTAGGAAACAGCAGAGTTCATTTGTTTTATTTTTATTTTTGCCGTGTGTGTGTGTGTGTGTGTGTGTGTGTGTGTGTGTGTGTGTGTGTGTGAGATGGGAGGGGTAATGGTGTTGTCATGAGTGCTGGTCTACGAATCTTTGAGGTCCTCCTGGGGCTTTTTCAAGATGAAAGCATCCTTCCTTCCTCCCTTGAACAGTGAAGACCAAGGGTTGGTCTTCATGTTCTGTGCTAATAGGAGTGTTTTCGGGCTCCATGTTTTTAGATTCTTGCAATCTGTGGATTTTCCCATAATATGCATTATCAGAAAAACACCCTGGCGGTCCAGCGGTTAGGACTCCATGTTCCACCGCAGGGGGCACAGGTTTGATCCCTGGTCAGGGAACTAAGATCCTGCATGCTGCGTGGCACGGCCAAAAAAAACCCCCAAACGCCCCGGCAACCCAAAACAAACAAACAAAAGAAAAATAGATAATATTGCCATTTTCCTTCTTGTTTATATGTGCCTGGAAGGAGTTGATAGTGTACTCTTCCTCTTTAGTAAACGATGGTAAGAAAGAACCACTTAAACATTATTAATAATTAGAGATAAATTAATTAATAATTAGATAATTAATAATTAGATAAATTAATAATAATAAATAATAAATAAATTTAAATAAATAATAAATAAATATTAATAAATTAATAATTAGAGATAAATTAGAAATTTATTATTTATTTATTAATTTTGTCTGCGTTGGGTCTTCATTGCTGCACGTGGGCGTTCTCTAGTTGTGGCGAGCGGGGGCTACTCTTCGTTGCGGTGCACAGGCTTCTCATTGCGGTGGCTTCTCTTGTTGTGGAGCACGGGGTCTAGGCACACAGACTTCAGTAGTTGTGGCGCGGGGAAGTTAGTTGCTCCGCAGCGTGTGGGATCTTCCTGGACCAGGGCTCGAACCTGTGTCCCCTGCATCGGCAGGTGGACTCTCAACCACTGCGCCACCAGGGAAGCCCTACAAGTGATTTTTGTAAATTGAAGGATTGTTTCAAATCGTTACAAGACGCTCTTCACGAAATGACCGGTGAAAGAACTGTGGGTACATCCACTGTGGTGCTTTGCCCCGAAGTGGGGACTGAGTTGGGTCACCTCGGGTCTGTGCCCTCATGATGGGAAAAGTGAGCCAGACATACTCTGAGAATCTTAATTGATACAGAAATGGCAGATCTGGAAACCAGACTCATAGACTAGGAAACAGCAGAGTTCATTTGTTTTATTTTTATTTTTGCCGTGTGTGTGTGTGTGTGTGTGTGTGTGTGTGTGTGTGTGTGTGTGTGAGATGGGAGGGGTAATGGTGTTGTCATGAGTGCTGGTCTACGAATCTTTGAGGTCCTCCTGGGGCTTTTTCAAGATGAAAGCATCCTTCCTTCCTCCCTTGAACAGTGAAGACCAAGGGTTGGTCTTCATGTTCTGTGCTAATAGGAGTGTTTTCGGGCTCCATGTTTTTAGATTCTTGCAATCTGTGGATTTTCCCATAATATGCATTATCAGAAAAACACCCTGGCGGTCCAGCGGTTAGGACTCCATGTTCCACCGCAGGGGGCACAGGTTTGATCCCTGGTCAGGGAACTAAGATCCTGCATGCTGCGTGGCACGGCCAAAAAAAACCCCCAAACGCCCCGGCAACCCAAAACAAACAAACAAAAGAAAAATAGATAATATTGCCATTTTCCTTCTTGTTTATATGTGCCTGGAAGGAGTTGATAGTGTACTCTTCCTCTTTAGTAAACGATGGTAAGAAAGAACCACTTAAACATTATTAATAATTAGAGATTGCTTTATTTTGCCTTTTATATGCCATAGCGATGAGATGGAGGGGTTAGAGAGTTAGATTGTCCTGGATTTAAATCCCAGCTGTGTCATTTACTATCACTGTGATCTTGGGCAAGTTCCTGTGCCTCCTCTTCCTCCAAAATAAGGCTAAAAATAATACCAACCTGAAGGGTTGTAAAGTTTAAATAGGTAATTAGTCAAAGAGCTTCGTGTATGTCTGGCCCATAAAAGTACTCACAGTGGAATATGTATTAGCCACATGTGAATGGCCTTATACTTCTGACACCAAGGTGCCATCTAATCTTTTGTTTGTCCAACAGGTGCCAAGAATATTTGTCAATGGAACTTTTATTGGCGGTGCAACTGACACTAACAGGCTTCACAAAGAAGGGAAATTGCTTCCACTAGTTCACCAGTGTTATCTAAAAAAAAGTAAGAGGAAAGAATTTTAGTGATGTAGGTGCTCATAACTTTGCTAATAAAATGTCACTATATATTTAAAGTGATAATGCCTGATAATACCTTTTAAATATTTGAGGGTATTTTAAATATATGAATTATCTTCATGAAAAAGTTGTAAAAAATAGTGAACAATAAATCACGCTGGAAACCTCTTATTTGCCAGTTCTTGAGTAAAATGGATGATATTTAAAACTGAAGGAGTAGAGTTGTATCAAAAGATAAGGAAAGAATGTGTTTTATTTGGAACTTATAGATGAATTTTTACAACCAAGAGCTAGAAAGTAAGCATTTGGGACTCTTCTGTATTGTATACAGAAGGAGTTAATGCCTTTTCTTTTCTAGCTTCCAGTGGTGAGCGCTGATGGGTGCCTTCTCTGCAAAATGTAAGGCTCTCACTGATGCAGTTGTGAACTCGGTAGGGATCTCCTTGTACTGTATTGTGACAAGCCTTCACACTTTGTGCTTCTAGAATAAAAGAAGTATATTAAATTTGTGGGATGGAATGAAATTCATTTTAGAAAAAACACATTATTCATCTGGTGATTTGGTAGTTCTAGAGAATAAAACAGCACCTCTGGGCAGAAATTAAGAGGCGGAAGATTTCAGCGTTGTATGAGGATGAACTGCGGAAACAGTTCAGAAATACACTTGAGTTATAGTGTGAGGTGGAGAGTTCTGCTTTCCAGAAGGTGTTGGAAGCTGTTGGAAATATTCCATAAGGGATCCAGGTATTGGATAGGAGATTAAACTGAATGGCCCTAAAGTAATTTCTGATGTAGATATTCTTCGCTTCTGTGACTGGGGATTCTAGCTGATCCTACAGAGTCACACGGGGCAGATTACCAGATGCTGGGAAGAGAAAACTCTTCCTCAGAGGTGGGAGGAAGATGGACTTTAAGAGAAGCAGTGAGCATCTGCTTTCTGGTCAAGATGGATCAGAGAATCTGGGGTAGTCCTGCAGAAGACAGCTGGTGGCTTTTTTTGCCATTTGCCCTCAATGACGCTTCCTACACGGTCTATTAAGCTGTCGTTAGACCTTGATAAAGCAAGAATTTGGACTATTTCATTCTCATGTGATAAGTTATAACTGGAATGGAACAGTGGAGGCATTCCTTTAGCCCTTTATTTTGCATTATGTCATGATGCGAAATTCTTGCATGCTTGCTATGTTGTAAACTCTTTGTTAGAGAGTAGAGGAAATGTTACCTCGTGTGATATTGTGATTATATTAAATATATATTTGGTCTTCATGCCATTCCTCACACACAGCTAAAACCCCTGGAATTTCCTGTGAGACGAGCTATTGTCTTTGGTTATGTTAATGAGGTGTTTTTTTGGAAAGCCCCTGAGGATGGAGGCTGGTTGCCTGGGGAAGCTTGTGATTAGAACGTTGGAAATACCAGCCCCACCTCCGACCTCTGGGGAGGGGAGAAGGGCTGGAGATTGCGTTCAATCAATGGCTAATCAATCCTGCCTGTGTAATGAAGCCTCTGTAAAAACCCAAAAGGACAGGATTTGTGAAGCTCCCTGGTTGGTGAAAAAGTGGAGATTGGGGGGAGAACAAAGTGCCCAGAGAGGACACGGAAGCTCTCCCCTTTCCCCATATGTTGCTCTATACTTCTCTTACAACTAGCTGTTCCTGAGTTAGACGCTTTTATCGTAAACTGGAAATCCAGAAAGTAAAATGTTATCTCTGAGTTCTGTGAGCTGCTCTAGCAAACTAATCAAACCTAAGGAGGGAGGGAGAGGGTTGGTGGAACCCCGTCTGTATCTGGTTGGGAGAAGCACAGGTGACAACCTGGACTTGAGATTGGCATCTGAAGTGAGGGCTGGAGGGGACAGTCTTGTGGGTCTGAGCAGCTGCCCCGATGACATGCCAATCCTGGCTGACTGAGGATTTAACTAGTTGTGCAGGGGCTAGTTACAAAGCCTAGGATTAACAGGAAGAGATTTCGATAGGGGACTGTTAACAGATTCTCAGTGGAAAAACTCATATAATTGGTGCTGGGGATGAGGGTTTCAGCATAAATTTTGGGGAGACACATTCAGTCCATGACACCATAAATTACAGCTAGATGAAAGTATATATATATATATATAAAGTATAATGTAAATCTAAGGCAAAACTAGGTATGAGGGGTTTCAGCAGCTGTTTTTTCTTTCCAAAACCACAGGTTAGAAAGAAAATCATGACCAGTTTAAGAAAAAGTAATGATATCGGTTTTTTATTTTTTTGGTCGTCTATTTTTAATGTTAAGATCTGAAAGACATACTGTTTAATATTTTAAAAATGGGCCATTTGTTTTCTCACTTTATCACTAATCAACTTACACATAAATTGCCAAAATATTTAATTGGGAAGCTGAAAAGCTGCTGAGAAAAAAAGGGGTCATTTGTTTAAATATATCTGCATTTTATTATTTACTAATATTTTAAAAAATACCATTTGAACATATTTTTTAAACGCAAGTTTTCTTGATAAGGTTTAAAAGAAAGTTTTTTTAAGTTTAGTTTTCTTCATCTATGAGGAGATGTATACAGTTGACCCCTGGAACAACACAGGGCTTAGGGGCTCCAACCCCCACCTTGAAAATCCAAGGATAATTTATAGTCAGCCCTCTGCATCCAAAGGTTATGCATGCCCAGATTCAACCGACCGCCGTTCAAGGGTCCAACCAGCCATTCAGGGGTCCACTGTATTTGTGATATTCCTTTCTCCATAACTGTTCACTGTCATCTTTAAATGGAGAACTATAGAATTGATCACATGTTCAAAGTTTTGGTGGGTATATTCATATGTAACTTGTTCTCACTCTTCATAACCTACAGCTCAGATCTTAGAACTTTTAATATGAAAGTTTTACGAGAATTCAGAGAAATTTCTGCAAACTGGCACTTAAATATTTTTATTTGCATAGTTGACTTTTGGTGTTAACTTTTCCCAAAGGCAACTTTTATTTTCTTATTTTTAAAAATGTTTATTGAAGTATAGTTGATTTACAATGTTGGATTCGTTTCAGGTATACAGCAAAGTGATTCAGTTACAGATATATATATCGGTTCTTTTTCAGATCCTTTTCCCTTATAGGTTATTACAAAGTATTAAGTATAGTTTCCTATGCTGTACAGTAGGTCCTTGTTTATCTATTTTACATATAGTGGTGTGTATCTGTTAATCCCAAACTCCTAATTTATCCCTCTCCCATTCCCAAAGGCAACTTTGAATTTTTTTTCACAAAAGAATCCTGTTTTAAACTCTTTAAGAATATGCACTTTTATTAAATCCAGTCATTTTGATCCTATAATTAATATCCATTGGAAAAGAATCCCCAACCACATATTTTAAATAATTAAATAATAGTTATATACAAGTAGAGGCATTTTAAGACCAATATTAATGGTCAAACCTTAATTTCATCTCATTCAAATATAAGATTGCTAAGAGCCTTTACATTTTATAAGGCATATAATCTTAAAATTCTTCTTTAAAGAAATGGAAAGACAATTACTTGATGTGCATAGAGTTTATTTGGTACATCTATCAATTTTTACAATAATACAAGTGACCAGAAACAGTTCACATTGTGCCCACCTGCACTCCATGTCTAAAATGATTTATCCAGTATGGGGTTTTGCAGGGCTAGAAAGGAGAGTCCAGATTTCACAGTATCGGTGAAAACTGTTTTGTCATGAAATAAATTTCATACATTAGTATTTCATCCATTTTCTATCAGAAAACAGCAGAATTACATTGCTAGGTATGTTATTTACAGTGAAAACTTGGAAGACTCAACAAAGTTATCAGTGAGTTGATCAACAACAGACCTAGGAAACCCCCTGCCCCTCCTTTCAGTGTCCTTTTTCTTTGAAATGGAACTTGTTATAAATTGAACTTTATATACTTAAGCACCAGCTTGAAAATTTAAAGTTTTCTCTCATTTTTATAAAATATTCCTGCTTTGAAAGGCAAAGTGAATGTAAAAATGTGAATGTAATTAAACATCACTGGCCTGGATACTTTTTATTGCAATAGTCGCAATGTCTTACAACTATATTCACTTCTTTGAATGAATTTGCTGGTAGGCTTGAAACAAAATATTTGCCTTTTGTCTTGAAAAATTCCCTTAAAAAATTAATCATTTTTGGAACTGTACAACTATATTTTTCATTCAGAGTGTTTAAATATGCAACTTGGTCCTTGGAGATCAGTTACAGAGTCCAGCTTCCTGGATAATTTGTTATACAAAACAATAAAAAACCTTAAACTACCACAAAATATTACTGATGTTAACAGTCGTGTATGTATAACACATCAGTGTCCCTAGATTATCCTGTTAACGGGTGCTTAAACAGCTAATGTACAATCAGGTTTTAAAACTTAATTAAATTTCCATTCTTTATGTAAAAGAGAAAGCTGTAAAAGACCTTTCGAGTTCTGTACTTCAGAAACACTGACACTATTAAGGCATTACTTAATGAACAGACCCTATGCAAAGTACGTATGCCTGTGTTGGAGACCTAGTCATATTTTAAGGCAGTCAGAAGGCTCATTTTTTTTCACTTTAAGGCTCTTGGATACTTAAATTTTATTCTATGAAGCCATTAGTCTGTATAATTTAAATATTTATTGAGTGGTCAAATATGGGAATCAAAGCCTTTATATAAAGCAAATGGACAGTTTAGAACTAGATTATAATACCTCTTCCTCATTCAGTTTTTTTTTTTAAGAGATGATTTCATATATCTCATCTCTTGGAGAATTTCTTCATTATCAGAAGCTGGCAATAAAAGGAAGAAAATATAACTCAAATGCATTACAAGTTATGTCTAGTCACACCATACCGAATTGCAAGCAGTCCACCTTTAGAATAATAGTGAACAAAAACACTTTTTCTTGGTTACTATTCATTAATGGTATAATATGTTTAATTTGGCTATCTATGGATTCGAAACAGTTTACATTGCAAATAAAGCCTAATAAGTAATTTAAACAAGTTTCAATACAATGATTGTATTGATATAATTTCCATCAATTATGTGGTAACGATATATAGCAAGACTTTAACCTTATTTACTACACTTAACAATCCAAGTATTCATTAAGTGAAGCCAGTGAAGTGTAGCTAACTTACTATTTCTTTTGTTCAAAACAGATTCTGATAACTCCTAAAAGCAAAGAAATTTAAATATATTTTAAAATGAAGTATATTATCACTTGTGTTCATAAAATTAATATGACACATGGTGGTGCTAAATTAAATAGAAGCAAAGGGAAAAATCTCCTTAGGCTCAGAAACATCTTTTATATCTTTTCATTGTATTTACAAAATTAATTCTCATTGAAAATAATCACCTTAATTTTAGTAACTGAATTTTGCAACATAACTCCTAAGTTTATGTTTCTTTCTACCAATTTCCTATATAATTTGGTATTTTCAGGGTTTAGGAAAATGTGTCATTTATTATAGTTCTATTCAGACAGTAAGTTTAACTACATTATTAGTTTTCTACATGAAAAATATTACTACAGGATTAATTTTTAAATTAACTTCATAATAATTTTTCAAAAGCAAATAAAACACTCACCAATTAAAAAAATGTTGAATGTGGATACATGTCATTTACAAGACCTTTTATGCTACAAGCCATGTATATATAAGCTCTGTGAAGTATTTGGTAGACAAAGGTTTTGTGGGTAGTCTTTATAATTATGGAAATATGAGCACTGAGACATGCTATTTTCTGAAAGAGTATTCACTTAATTATTTTTCAAAGAGTGCTTTTTCTAAGAGCTAGGTACATCTATAATTGCAAACAAAGGCTGAATAACTGCAAACATTTCTGCAAACATCTAATATAAAAGGTATACAATATAACTTGATTTGGGGAGAGAATTTATCAATTCAATTATTGTTCCAGGAGACCTGCCCTTTATTAATGTGAAAACAATATGACCTTAAATCTATATGGAACAAAAAGCAATCTGCAAGATGTATCCCAAACCTAAATACGGGTAACTTTCCTGTCATTTATTTTATTACTCAGGTACAGCAGGACTAGAAAAGCAAACAGAAGACCAAAATGTCAGAAGAAAGGAATTTTAAAAGAAAAAAAAAAAGGTATAGAAGGAATCTTCCAACAAATAAAGGACTAGGGAGCAAGTAACTGGGATATATACTAAATTAAATGCATACAGTAAATACAACTAATGAAATAGTTTAACTTATCTTTTTTCTAATTCTCCCTTGTGCATGTTTACATTGATGCTATGTGACATTTCTCTAGAGGGGACATAGCCTTAACAAATCACCCAAGTCTGTGGTATACAAGACTAGAATTTTTCATTTGCGATTACTAACTGTAAGGGACTTATCGAGAGATCTGTGGGTATATCATCTTTAGGTCAAATTGAAGTAAGTCCAATAAGTGATCACAACCATTTCCCTTTAATTATTGTTTAGATGTAGCTTTACTATGCTTCTGAAGAAGTTTCTTAATTGTCAGATCCTCAAATTTATTCAGAAATTCTATCTTAAATTTCCAAAATAATTTTAAACTGTTTTGCAGAAAAAAATCCTGATTAACTGTTATTCTATCGTTTGTAGATTTACCTGTTATTTTAAAACATTAAGCAAATTTTTGTTAAGACCATCTTCTCATTTAGAGTATGAGTTAGTTTTTCTTGATCTATCTAATGGAATATATTCCTTTCTCTTATCAGAGAACAGTGATTTCTTTAGTCATTACCTTTACTGTTAAAATTTTTCTTCCACATTTTCCCATTCAGAACAGGAGTGTTTAAAAAAATTATTGAGCCTACTGAGCTGTTTTTCTAAAACATTTTATCTTTCAAAACATATATCCTATTAAAAGTGTTTTTAATTTTTTAAAAAGTTCTAATTTCTTTGCAAGCCTTCTTCCCAATTTCAAGTTTTATACAGATATAAAATCATTGATTTTTCTATGATCCAAGCATCAGATATGTTACTTTTTAAAGATAGCAAAATTGAATCACATAGGTTAAATTGGTTGTCTACAGTCACACAGTAAGTTAGATAAAGCAAAAGAGGTTCCAGAAGGGTATAACGCTAAATCCCATTCACTAGTGTCTTCCTCACCAATATTTCCTAAAATGATGACTAAACTAAATAATACATAAGTGTTAATAAGTGGAATTTCCAAGAAATTTCAACTAACAGGGATAGGGTAGGATCATAAGATTAGTTTTTGTTTTACTAATTACAACTATATCCTGAAAATATTTACATATTTTCTAGGAAATAAAGTTTACTTTTCTTAGGATTGTTTTTTAGAAGCAACATTTTCCTAATCAGCAATAATGCTAGAAGTAATTCAGAAAATAAAACTTCTTTATCACTTGAGTACATTTTATTCATAATGAGGTAAAGTTTTTTATTCTTTCTATATGACTATGTTATAGAGCAATACAGGTTATTAAGACATTAATTGTGCTTGAGGGTTACTATGAACTACAGAAGTATACATGTTCACAAGTTCTGTTTTTCTACTCCTAAAGCAATCATGTATATACATTATTTCCTAATACCTAAAAAGATAAAAGTCTTGAATAATTCTATTTTATCACCTACTCTTGTAAGTCAATGTATTCCCATTTTGTCGGGAAATGAACACTGGAATGGGAATGAAGAGACCAAGGTTTCTAGATCTAGATCTAGGACTCCAAAGTCACACTCAGACCATGGATCCCTAAACTAACTCAAACAATTACCCTTTAAATTTCTAAGGTTTCTTCCAGCTCTAAAGCTCCATGATTTGAAAATAAAGCTACCTTCAGTGGTGGCTTTTAGTTTTTTCTTTCTAAAACCTTACCATTTAATAGACTTATTTATGTGACTTCAAAAAAGTCACATCTAATCTTACTTCTCTGATGGATTTAATATTAGTTCCTGAACATATCTGTCTAAAAACAATATAGAAACAGTGTTTAACTGAAGGAAATAAACGTTTATACTATATTCCACTTAACATTTCTATTAGGAATAAAAAGTTAGATCATGTTATAATTTTTAATTTAAGAAGATTCTGGGGCTTCCCTGGTGGCGCAGTGGTTGAGAGTCTGCCTGCCGATGCAGGGGATACGGGTTCGTGCCCCGGTCCGGGAGGATCCCACATGCCGCGGAGCGGCTGGGCCCGTGAGCCATGGCCGCTGAGCCTGCGCGACCGGAGCCTGTGCTCCAAAGCGGGAGAGGCCACAACAGTGAGAGGCCCGCGTACCGCAAAAAAAAGGAAAAAAAAAAAAAAAAAAGATTTTGGGTTTACTTAAAGAACTCAAGTACTATTACAAAATTCTGTTAGTTTCTTTAAACTTTAAATTCAATCTGAACGTAATATTTTAATGTATCAAAAGTAGCTAACATGTCAAATCCAATGCCTGACAGAGGATAAAAAACAGATATCAGAAGCCATGTATTTTTTTTTTGCGGGGGGGGGGGGGGAGTACTACTAGCTTTGCTGACAAAAAAATCAGGTAAATCATAATATTTACAAATTGCTACCAGTGGCCTTGAAGGAAGAGCTACATATCAGACAAGGCCAGCATTAATTTATCAAATAAGTTTGAAAGGAACATTGTCTTATTACTCCCAGAGCCCAAATTTCTCATGAAACAGAAGAAAATATACAAATTCTAACATTACTTAAGTCCCTCTGACCCCCAAAACATAAAACCTCTAACCCCCAAGCACGTGAAAGTATAATTTACATTTACTAGTTTGACTTTTCATATAATATTGAGAAGGGCTTTATAAATCCCCAGTAAATCTTTAAATACATTTAAAGAACAATACATAAAAACTGAAGTTTTATGTGCACATTATCTTAGACAGCCATGATATAATTATGAGCAAATATACTGGCAGTTCAACAGGTTAAACCTCCCCACAAAGAAGGGATACTTGCTCAAGAAAATAGTGCACTTTATAATGAATAGGAAGTTTAATATACACAAATAAAATAGAAAAAATTAATTTCTTACAGACTGGTTAGTGATAATATGCCACACAAAAATTGCCTTTCAAACCTGAAAGACCTACCTTGCTTTATTATTTTTTTATACTATCAAAAAAGAATGTTTTGTCACAAATGAATAATGGACAAAGCCACAGATGAATAATGGACAAAGAGAGAGGAGGCCACTAACATGTTACCATTAGAAATATCTAAAACCCATTTACAATTGGCTAAAAAAATAGATAAAAGTAATTAAAACAATATTTTTAAAGTAAGGAAAAAGCTAATCTGGCTATGTTTGAGATTTTAATTGTCATACTTTCAGATTATGAATGGGGGGAGTTAAATGTTTGAAACATCTGTTTTCATTTAAGAGAATGAAAAAAAAAGTGTGCCTACATGTGGCTATGTTGTTATAAGCCAGAGGAAACTGTCAAGTCATGCCCCCTCACTCACAGCAATAAACAAACAAAAGCAAACCAAAATAGACTTCCTCAGCTGACACAAACTTCAGATCTCTTCTCAGGGGTTTCCCTTATGTTTCTGGTTAATGGTAACAATTCTACAAGTGTAAATTAAACCACAGAAACAAAATATCTTTTTCACTGACTGAGAAAGCTATTTATGTGACTGTAGAAAACTGTTAAAGGAATTTGTAAAACTCATTCATAATCAAATGTCTTGTTTTTTTGGTTTGTTTTTTTAACCCCCTTGGTATAAAAGTTTACAAATGAGTTTCATATTCCATCACAGTTACATGGTCCAGTGCATTTCAGAATATTTGGACATTATCAAAGTTGTCCTTTACCAATGAAAACATTTAAGAAAACTTTAGGCATTTCTCAAATAAGTGACATGATATGGAACTACTTACACTTCTGGCTCTCTCTTCTTTTAAGTACAAATGTGATTATTCACCAAAGCAAAACTGTTTGACTATTTTACAGCCTCTCGACAAGAAGTTCTCTATTAGATAGAGGGGGCTACAGTGTATTCTGAAGCTATTTCCCAAGAGCTAGTTTAGCAGACAGAAAGAACTTTGGGCTCATCTTATTGTTCCTTCTTTTTTTTTGGTAAGGTAAACTTTCCATTATGCACATACTATACCATCATCCTACTGTCTTTCATTGGATTAAGATTAGCTGGGAAGTAGCAGTTTATTAGCGAGATCACTGATGGCAATGGACCTCTTAGACTGTGCTGGTGCTTATGATTAAATCATATCTAATGTGAAACTTCGAATCACGTCCAGAGCTCCAGTATCAAAGCCACACATATCCAACATGCCTCTATCATCTGGGTCTGCAATGGTAAAACCATTTGATGTCATTCCACAGACAATCAACTTGGCTGGAATATCCATATTCTGTAGGAAAAGATCAAAAATATTTAAAAAATAGTATGTAAGCAAAAGCAAATTTTAACCTAAAATTAAAACACTTTAAATTCTATCACAGCTTTTCATTACAAAGCCAATTTGTTTTTCCTCCATAAAATCTGTCAATCTTCTGGGGCCAGACTATGTGATCTTCAGAAGAATAGATGGTTATTAATAAACATGTCAACAACCTGCCTGAAATTCCTGCTTCTTTGTTCAATAGTTATTACTCATTTTACGGGCATAGAACACATTCCTGAGCAGCATAGGGACTGTGTACTTATGAAACTAGTCAGGATATTCAGGGGCATGACATTTTTACCAACATGTCAAACCCTGGGGCAGTATGTAAGGATATATATAAGGAAACAGTTCCCTGGGGTTATCGATTTTTGGTTTATGACTTTGCTATGTATAGCATATACGTCACATGTAATAACCTGTTCTCTACAGCTATGGTTTCAGGCTAAAATGATTGAGTTTTTGAGAAAAACCAACAATCACTGAGTGTGCACTATGTCAGACACCATGCACTCTTTAGGCAATTTATCTAATGTAATTGTTATAACAACCCTAAAAGCTACGTAGTACTTTTTTTTTTTTTTTTTTTTTTTTTCTCAAACTTAAGCATACATTAGAATGCCCCGAAGGGCTTGTTAAAACACAGTCCCACCCCAGAGTTCCTGATTTAGCAGGTCTCCCATGGGGCCCAGGAATATTCATTTCTAACAGGGTGCCAGGTGATGCTAAGGCTGCTAGTAGGAAAATCACACTTTGAGAACCACTGCTCTTCATCAAGCTCTATTTCCACTTCCGGTCACACTCGCCACAATTCAAGTGCTCCACAGGCCACATGACTGGTAGATTTCATACTGGATAGTGCAAATATAGAACAATTCCATCATTTCAGAAAGCTCAACTAGAGAGCACTGATTAGAACACAGAAATACCCATAAAGCTTAAAACACAGATTACAGCTTTGCTTTAGGTTTATGTAATCCTTAGCAAAACTCAGAAATGATGCTTTAATTTTTCAAGGAGCACACTGAATCATTAAAAATTTACAGCTAAGGTAACAAAAATTTTGATTATTATCGAAAATACTGTTTGCAAAAGATATTAAAATGTATGGAACTGGAACTTGTTGAAATAAATTGTGTATGTGTAGGCAGTACTTCTTTATTTCCAGAACTGGTGTTATATTCCTATACAAAGGTACAGAACTACTGAGTCCAGAGGTGGCGTAACATTCCTATACAAAGGTACAGAACTACCTTCAGTATCATTTTTTGAAAAACATAGTCAATGTTTGAGAATCGAATCTTATTTGGGGTGAGAAAGAATATTAGAATTTATCTTACCTTTCGATATTCCCTCAGAGCAACGGCAGGATGGACATGTCCAGCAAAGGTCTCGTTATCAGTGAATACTATGAAGACATCGGCAGCTGTATTTGTGTTTTGAGCCCAGATCATTGGAAGAGAGCAATCAGTTCCACCTGCTGGGATCTAACTCGGAAAAAAAACATCGATAAGAATGCAAGAAAATGCCCTCATTTCTGTACTGACATGTCTGAAATAATTAAATACTTAAAAATACTATTTTATCGGTTATTTTGTTTAGACCCAATATATAGGCTTTCCCAAAGCTTGTATATATATTTCTGATTTTGTGTTCATGAGAAAGTTGAGATGAAACAATTTGTTCTCACAAATTTATTAATATCAGGAATGACATCAATAAATTTTTATATAATACATGTTAAATAAACTTAATAAAACAGTTTCTTACCTGGCTCATAGCCATTAAAACCTGTTGTAAGGTCATATCTGTAGTCACTGGACATGGTACCATTTCATCTGAAAAAGCAACTATATGAGAATCTTTTTCTGTTCGTGTGACAACCTGAAAAATTCAATGGTAGTAATTTTCAGTAGATTTTGGGGAAACAAATACAGTATCTTGAAGTTCATCTTTAAAAGAAAATATCCTATGATGCTTACTTTTATTTCTAAACTTATATTACTGTGTTTGGAAACTACACAGTAACAGTGGTATAACTTTCAAAGTACTTTTACAAACTCTTATAAAGAAACTGGTTTTCACAACAATCCTTTGAAGCAAATAGAGTATATATTATTATTCTCGTTTTATTAAATAAGGAATAAACCCACAGAAGAGAAGCCAAGAAGCTCGCCTATGGTTCATTTACTTGTTATTCAGAGACAGAGTCAGGCTAGAACAAGTCTCCTGACTGTTATTATTAGTTCCTGATCTTTTAACGTCTATATTCATTAATAATTTCTCTAAGCATTATCTATTTCCTTAAAAATACTGGTAATATTTAATCTGTTGTTGTAAAATTAAAATTTCTACTCTGACTTTTCTTTAGACATGCTTTTTCAATATACCTACAATATTGTATATACCTAAGTATTAAAGTATATACAAGTATACCCAAGTATATATATAATACTTAAAGCTTTGCTTAAAACAAGCAAAAACATAATTCTTGATCATATCCAACTTTATAGTTTTGTCCCAGGGTAAACATTTTTAGGGTGGCAAAATCCTAAATTGTCTTAGGTGTTCTCACCATGCACATTGCTGCGGCTACTGTGCTAGCGTTGAGTACACTACCCAAAACTCTTTGGTTCATAGAAGCACTGACATCAATTGCCAGTAAGAAACGCTTTCCAGCTGGCTCAACTGTCTAAAGAGAAAATAAAACCAAACAATCATTAAAAGCAATCAAAGAAATGATAAGTATATTAAATTTCTAACGAATCATATTTACTTAATTTTCATTCAAAAGACTAAGATAAAAGGCCTGATATTTGATTTACCAATCGACAATTACAAATGCTTAGCTTTTACTAGAGGTAAAACAAAGGAAATAAGACGGCCTATTTAGTAATTTAAAGAAGTTATCATCTTCATTTTTTAAAAATCTTTCCACATGAAGTAAACTGGGAATTTCTCGCAAGAAAGTTTTTTGTGGTAAAATACAAATAACATAAAATTTACCATTCCTAAAAAAATTACTTCCTATCAAGACAGAAGAGATCTACTACTGATTAACGGAAAAACAGGACAGAGGACCAAGTCACAGGGCTCCAGAGGAATGCAAAGTTTTTAATTTGGTACCTTAAAACTTATGAAAATGATCTTAGGATAACTGGTTGTTGTCCAAAGGTAGAGAGAAGTACTTTATTCATAAGCTTACAATGTTAATTATATATTCATTTTCACATGAACTAAGAAAAAAAACAAATGAATATCTAATCAAAAATGGTTAAACTACTAATATTATCTTTAAAATGTGATATTAAATCCTAACTGGGTCTTTTGTTTTAAAATAAAAATCAAACCATTACCTTAAATGTTTTGTAAAAAGCAGCATCCAAAGCTTGCAAAATTTCTTCATCAGGGCGCCACTTCAGTTTTCCTCTGAGCCCATGACCTGTTTTGTAAGTTTCTAACGCAATTAAAACATGAAATGGATGTATACGAGCCTAGAAACACAACAAAGACAGAAAGCAAATGTCAAATTCAAGTGAAAAACAGTAACTATTTCTTTTAGATTTTTGTTATTATGGCTAATAAATCTATTTCATAAAGAAAAAAGAAAAATGAGGACATATTAATCTTAGATTTAAGAGTCAGTGCAACTTGGTCTCTGAATACCTAAAAAATGTGCCAACCGCATTTCCAAAATTTAGGAGCCAACTTTTTCAATTAGTAATAGTTAACAAAGGTAATGCTTACCTTTTTTAACAGTTTTTCATTACACAACTTTTCACATACTAAAGACACTTCTGAGTTTCCTGGTTCAAGCACTGAATTAGCAGTCATCTTTCCAAGATTCCTTAGTAATGCTGTAAGAGGCATTTCTTGTAACAAAGCCTTCCATACCTATTGCAATAACACAGGTAGAAATATAAGGAATTAAGGGTAAATGAATATGTATAATATAGCTGTTATCAATTAATAACATAGACTTTAAGTATTTCTCTTGCGGTTCAGGGCACGTTCTAAATAAAAATCGGTGTGAACTGGTCAAAGGCTCATCAAATAAAATAACTTGCTCTTTACTAGGGTAAGAAAGTGACGTATATTTTGTAAAGGAATTGCATATAAGAATTTTATTTATTTATTTTAATTAGTGAGGCAAATTAACCAGCACATTTTCTGGAGTGAAACTAATATTTATAAAATGCCAACTACATCTGGGCATTGTGTTAGGTGTTTTAAATAAACGTTAATTTTAAGATATATTTAAATTACTTTTTTTAGGAAATCCCCTGGCAGTCCAGTGGTTAGGACTCAGTACTTTCTGGGGCCCAGGTTCAATCCCTGGTTGGGGAGCTAAGACCCTGCAAACTGTGTGGTGGGGCAAAAAAAAAAATTTTTTTTAAGTATTAATTTTTTTAAGTATTATTTTTTAAAAGCATTACCCACAATTTATCCTTTTAATACACAGCGTAAGTTCCTCGTGTTTAATCACATGCTTTAACATATTATAATTTGCTTACCTCTTTAGACTTCAAGTGATTTGTTAGGAGATGCTCCCTAACCAGTCTGTGCTCTTCTATCAGATGAATGACTTCCAGTTCATCTTTTGTGCGCTTCACTTTCTCTACAGCCTCCAGATACTTTAATAATTTCTCAGTCTCCACAGAAAGTGCTTTTTCTTTATACATTTCATGGACCTCTTTCCAGCCCTTTGTAATATATTTGGTAACAATAGCAAGTCCTTTAACAAAATAAAGAATTAAAAAGGCATGTAGGATTATAAGGTAAAGAACAGGACATGTTATGGAGAACGCATTATGTGAAAGGCACACCTAGATACACAGGAGTTTAAACCGACATGCTACTTTCTATGATATGACAAACACATTTAAGCCAATGGAGTCTGCTAATTTTGCCTATTCCATCATAAATGCTTCAACACGAGACTTTGGAGGAAAAGCTCCAATATCCTAAGTCATTTCGTTACGGAGCTTTTATTTATTTTTTTGAAGCACTAGCATTAGAACCTTTGGTACACAGTGCCTATCTCAGGTCCACAATCTCAGAACTCACAAAAGTACAGATCTACCTCAATAAATCTCATATTCACTTGCCCCTTTAGCTGCTAAATAAATAGGCATTTATAAATTGTAGAGATAAGTGGAAGTAGACAGGTAGGTAGGTAATTTGTGATTTTTTTTTTAATAGCTGAGAAAGTATTGCAGGCCAAACTTTTTAAAAAGGGAAAATAATGTGTTCACTTCTTCTACAATTCCTTTCAATAGCTGAAAGAGCTTTCAGTTGGGGGCGGTGAGGAAACCTGGGTTCTAGCTTACATGTCGTCAATAAATGGCTGTGTGATCTTTCTAGGCCTTAGTTTCCACTTCTGTAAAAGGGGGAAAGGGGACAGACTGAATTATTAAATTCCAGGGTCTATGGGGGAATGGTAGGTAAAGTAAATAAATGAACGAGGCCACTGACAGAAGAGAGAGTGGTTAGCACTGTGGTGAACTAAAGAGAGAATATGCCCTGACAAATGTTTTAGTGAAATATTGGCTCACTGCTGCCAAAAAACCGTATTTTCAAAAGAAGGTACAATATGGATTTTTATGTGATGTTGAGAAAGAGTTCATTTTTTTCTAAAATATGGTGCAGGCCAAATAAAATACACCTCTAAGGCAGATTGAGCCTATGTGCTATTTCTGAACTCTAATTTAAATAACTTGATCAAAAGTTAGTACTAACATGCAGGAACTTCTAAAGTATCGTGACTCTTGCTATCTTACAGATCTTAGTACAAAATCTTACATTGCCTTAAATGAGTTAATGTTTCATGTGAGCATGTTTTCTATTCTTTCCAACTAAAATAAAACTTTCGGGGCTTCCCTGGTGGCGCAGTGGTTACAAATCTGCCTGCTAACGCAGGGGACACGGGTTTGAGCCCTGGTCCGGGAAGATCCCACATGCCGCGGAGCAACTAAGCCCATGTGCCACAACTACTGAGGCTGTGCTTTCTAAAGCCTGAGTGCCTAGAGCCCGTGCTCCGTAACAAGAGAAGCCACCACAATGAGAAGCCCATACACTGCAATGGAGAAGGCCCCGCTCACCACAACTAGAGAAAGCCCGTGCGCAGCAACGAAGACCCAACGCAGCCAGAAATAAATTAATTTATTAAAAAAAAAAAACTTTCAGAAAGTCTGTCTTATTATTATTTTTATCTTCCTCAAGTCCTAGAATTGTGTTGGCCACACAGTAGGTACACAATAAACACATGATTAGTTGAATCACACTTTGAATTGTTTTATCTGTTTAAATACACATTTCAGTTACTTACTTAGTAACTTAAGAGTTTGTTTCCAAACACTAGGCTCTGAGAAGCCTAAGGATCTTCTACACCTAAACATATTGCTATTATTACAAGGTTTCAAGTATGAGTTCTGCCCTCAAAAATCTAGAATTGACGAATCCTATGTGTGGGACTAAGTTTAGGGAATATCTACTAATTTCTCAATTTATAGACCAAGAATTCAAAACTAGAATAACTATTTGCACAAATTCAGAAACTAATTTTTCCAATTTGAACTAGCACTTAGGCCCACACCACCACATAGTGTCTCAACAGATAAATAAAGCTGGATGCCTACAGCCTCCTCAAACTGGAGCAAAAATTTAAAGAAAATTTTAAAGTTAAAAAAATTAAGCCATGAATATGTTAGGGAAAAAAAACACACGTAAGTATTTTTATGACTTTAGGTTGGAAATAGCCTTTCTAAACCTAACATAAAATAAAAACGTACTAACAAAGGCAGATAAGTTTGATTACATGAAAATTCCAAACTTCACTGTGACAGAAACCCCCTCCATCAAAAAACGAAAAGACAAAGAAAAAAAATGGGGGAAAAATGCATGCAATGTATATAATAATAAATTATTAATTCCTATACTTGGTATTCCAAGTTCTGAGAACAGTGCCCATCTACAGTAGGTGCTCAATAAATATTTGTTGAATGAATGGTGACTATAATTATTGTTATTTTTATAATATTAAAAATAGCAACTTGATAAAAAGAAAAAGATACAATATAATCCATGAAAAATATAAATAATCAATAAGCACATGAAAAGTTGAGCTTTCGCCCAAATACATAAATTCAAATAACAAGATAAAATTTTTTACCTATCATTGGCAAAGATTAAAAAACACTGGTAAAGAGTCAATGTTCAAACGTGTGGAAAGGGGCCACTTTCATATACTTTTTGTGGATTTAAGCATTATAGAAATTAAAGAAACATTTACATTAACCAAGTTTTTTCACTGTAGTATTTTTGTAATAGTATAAAAAAACCAGAAGCTACTTAACTGTTATCAGTAAGAGACTAGCTACATAAATTATATTCATATAATGGTACACATGCAATTATTTCTACTGACCTGAAAAAAATCAATATACTTTTAACTGAAACAAAGAAGGTATATAAAATTTTAAAAAATAGAACATTATATTTAGGAAAAATCGGGAGTAATATACAACCTATGTATAGTGATTTCTTTTGAAGGGCAGGACTACTTTCTGCATTATATTTTTTTGTATTATCCAGCTACTTTAAAACAAGCATGTAGGGAATTTCCTGGCAGTCCCGTGGTAGGATTCATGCTTTCACTGCCGAGGGCGCAGGTTCAATCCCAGGTCAGGGAACTAAGATGCCACAAGCTGCATGTGGAATGAATGAATGAATGAATGAATGAATGAATAAGTAAATAAAACAAGCATGCAATTTCTAATAAAGAATCAAAATATAAATGTGTTTATATACATAAACGTTTGCAGTAATTTACTACTTAAACTTCATTTGAAAAAGTCCATTTGTAATTTAAAAAAACAAGGGATAAATTAAGAATTACTGAGGAGATACTATGCATGAAGGTGTCATTACACAAGCTATGTGGGAGGGAGGGGAGAGAACCGACACTGCCCTTTACTCCGTGCCAGGAACTGTGGAAGTATTGTAATACACACTATCACATTTAGTCACAATAATTTTAAGAGTTATTCCTTTTCTACCTTTTTTAAAAGATGAAGATACAGAAACTCAGAAAGGTTAAGTTACTTGGCATAAGGACACAAAGTAATAAGTAGAACTGAAATTTGAACCATCTGAGGGGCTGTCTTTTCAAGTTTCACTTCTGCTGTAAAAAAAAAAAAAATGCCAAATTTGGACATGTTCATTTTGTGAAAGTTCACACTTAAAATTATTCTTGTGCAACAGTTTTTATTTCCCTTCTAAGAAGGACTAAAGAGTCATTGTAGACCCAACTAACTTTTCAAAAGTCTCTTCCCATAGACATAGAAAAACTGCCCCAAGTCACAATGACCCCTGGCTGACCGCGTGGAGACAATTATTAAGTTCAGCACTACTTTGGGTGGCCTTTAGGTTCCACAGAACATATGTCTTAGGAAGACAGGGAGGGAGAAAAGGGGCTAAAGCAGTACAGCCTGGCTATCTGCCATCTATTGGCTAGGAGCCGTTTTGATTCCTACAACTTTAATCATATCCATGCTGCTTTCATAGTCCATAATCAAGGGGGTGAGCATTCTAGTTAGCATGGTGACATTTTAAGATTTAGATTATCAAGCTGCAAATCTGTCATTTGATTCTTGATCATTAATGTCTAGGTGTTTAATTCCAGGTTGGCATTAAACATACATGAATTAATCAATGTGTTCTGAGAATTAAAGGCTATTTCTAGAAAATATTACACAACTGTCTTATGTCAAATAAAAATTTGCTATTTGTTGGATATCGGCACCTCACCCCCCGCATGATCTTACGCTTACCTTCACTGGAAGGTTTAAGATGCGACAATCTTAACAGATCTTTGTGAGACCAGCCATTTCTTTGTTTATATTTTGTGACGGCCAGGGCAAGGGCCATGCCACCTTTTTCATTGTACCAGTCTGCTACGGCCTTCCGGAGGGCGCGACCCCACATGCCACATTTCATGCTTTCCTTTAGATCTTTCTTAAATTGTATAAAAGTAAAGAGATGTGTAGGAATGCGACAAACTTCAGAAACAGCTTTGAAAGCGGCTTGTTTTGTGCTTATGTCGGAACACTGGGAACAAATGGCGAGGGCAAAGAGCATAGGCTCCTGCTTTGCAGTTCTGCCTTCTTGACTAAATGACTTTATTTCCTGTATCACTTCACATCCTCTGCCATCTTCAATCAATCTAATTAAAGCTTCAGCATTCTCAAGGCCCAACTTCTGTTCTTTGATAGAGTAAGTCCCACCTTCAGAACCAAAACACAAGAACCGCTGCAGCCGATTCATATCAGTGACTTGCCACACATATCCATCTTCAGAATTGGCTATCTGCTTCTCATTCAGCGGCTGCATTTGGTTTACCAATTCCTCCATTTTTTTGTCTTCTAGGAAACTGTCAAAAAGCAAAATGTTATTTTAGCTAGAAACAAGAAAAATCTAAAAAGGAAAATTATTTATTAATCTATGCTTATTGAAATCTGCCATGAAATCTTTTACTTTACAAACATTTCTTAAGCTCAGTAACTGGTGGTATAACGATCAGAAGCAAAAGCTAAGAAGTCGCATTTTTGAGGTATAGCTTGTTGCTTCAGAGACTGAGCAGGCAGTTCAGCATGGAGTCTATAGAGGACCAGACGGAGTAGAATACAAGGGGCGGCAATAGTCACTGACACAGACAGGGGGCTGACACTCCCTTTACTTCCTGAATAACAGTGTATACATTTTTGATTGTGTATCCAACATCTGTTCCTCCCTTCCCCCTTGTCTTATCCTCTTTCTGGTAGGAATGCCCTTCAGGGGACATTCCCCAGCCCCAAGGGATGAATCTTGACTGCTCTAAGCCAGTGTTCTCAAACTGCGTGCATCAAAATTACTTGAAGTGCTAGTTAAAACACAAGATGATGGGTTCCACCCTCCCCCCCCCCACCCCGAAGTTTCCTTCATAGTTCAGTATGTCTGGTTGAGGCCTAAGCATTCATACTTATCACAAGTTCCCAGGTGATGCTCTCATTCCTCTTGCCATGTGACTGGTACAGGTATTGGGCAAGTATCACAACTCCCACCAGTGAGACATAATAAGTCTGCTGGTTATACTTATGAGGTTTTCTTCCTTCTTAAAAAGGGGCTTGGGCTCTTAAAAAGGAATGGTCCCCTTTCTGCCTTGACATACTCATCTGCATATGATGCCTGAAGTGGTGTCAACTATCTTGAGCCATGGGGGGGTGCCACTTTAAGAAGAAAAATTAATTTATAAGGATGGAAGCATCAGAAAGAAAAAAAAAAAAGAAGGAATCTGGGTCATTGATATCATCAAGTTACCTGTAACTGCCCTACTCAGAAATGTCCTAATATATCATAAGTATATCCTTATTGTTTAAGCCATTGGTAAGTTTTCTGTTACCTGTAGCTGAGAGCATGTTAACTGATTAACATCCTGTATCAACCGTGCTCATTTATAGTTTACTTCATCTGTGACTACCCACATTTTCCTCCTTCCATTATCTCTGAAGCTACTAGAACTAGCTGTCTGGCAGCAATATCCCTTTTTCTCCTCCAAAGGCAGTAACCACAATCATCCACTACTTTATCGGTCCACCGCTTCTCTCACTATAGGACAGCTGTTTATCTTCAGGTTTCCTGCCTGGGCCACTACAGTGCACTGGGCTTCTCCCCATGGCAAACAACCAACAAAAAATCCTCAACCAGCATTTACTGCATACTGTGTGTAAGGCGTGAAGGAGATTTCTGTTCCATTAAAAAGATTTTTAAAACTTTTTTCCTGCCCTCAGGGAAATCACAGTCTATTTGATGAAGTAGAAATTTATACATAATACAAAGCAAACTGTAATCAAGTGCTTTAACAGAAAAGTGAATGAGCAGAGGAAGATAAAATAATGCTGTCTCAATAATGCAGGAAGACTTAAAAACTGGCATATAAAGTCTGGGGAGCACATTCCAGGAATGGGTATATGAAATCTTGCTCTGTGTCTTTAAATTTTAGAAAAGGAACTAAATATACTGCAAAGAAATGTTGACAGGTAAGGTAGTAGCTTAAAGAGGAACACAGGTAAAAGATATTTTGTGTTGAAGATGATACAAGCTTGAGCATGTTTATATACTGTGGGGAAGGCTAAAGACAGAATCCTGGTGAATATTAACAATTAAAAAATAGCTAAGGAGAAAAGGGCCCTTTAAAGAAGAATGGTAAGGAGAGGCACATAGACTTAAAATCAGGAGAGAGTGGTATCGTAGACCACCAGGAAGAGAATTTCATGGAGTGAAGGCCTGGTAATGTCAAATGCTCAGCAATCAAGTAAGTAAGGCTGAGGTTGGCAACAGGAATGCTGAGGAAAGGCAATCGCAGTCAGGCGCTGCGAGAAATAGCTTGATTCTAGTGAGGTCAGGAGGGCATGCAGCGATGAAGAGACTTCACAGGTAGACTACTCCTGCACAGAAGCAACGCTCTAAAGGGAAGGTAAAAGAGAAGGCAGGAGCTAGAGGAAAAATCTTTTTACCTTTTCAGATGAGAGGACACTGAGGTTGAGGTTCAAAGTTCAATTTGGAGAGGTGAAGACAGCAGAGAAAGGGCGGTAAGTGAGGGAATGAGGTCCCTGAAAGAAGCTTCAGAGCATCCAGCCTGAGACTTGCCCTTGACAGCAGAAGAGGGATCTCCTCCACTAAGGGTGAAGGCTATGGGTAATGATCCGTGTGAGGGAGTCAATGCGGGGAAATTGGGTTAGGGAGCAATGACAGACTGGGTCTCAGAGGGGGGAACACACAATGGTGCAGAGATAAGTGCTGGGAAGAAAGCCTCACATTGTGAATGTGACTGAGGGGGACAGTGATTTGAATTGTGCTGGAAACAGCAGTGTCAATATTCCAAATAAAGCTCTGACATAAAGTGGTTTATGTCAGTGCAGGCCTAGGCTTCAGGTGGTGTCAGAGACGAAATGATCATATTACATTAGTCATTATGGACTGATTTATAGTGACTGAGTACAGCACAGGCTGAAACTCCTGGTGCAGTGGATGTTGCTTTTTCTATGTATTTGTACCCCCTTTTCAGTATTGCATTTACCTCTGCCTTTCAATCCAAAAAGGCTAAGAGCCTTCTCAAAGATTGATAACATTAATTGCTAATTCCAGTAGAAATTTTTTGACATTGCTGGCCTCTCCTTTAGATTTAACAAAACACACTCTTTCTGGTGTTACTTCAACCTGGCTATTCCTGCTTATCAGTCATATTTGTTAAATGAATAATTTGTAACCTTTAAAAATTGTATAAAAAAAAGAAGAATATCTGATTTTTGTCCATGGTTCTCACAGGGCTTCACATACCACTTTGGGTTTATATCCGAAAAAAACAAAAACACTTAACTTGAAAAGATACGTGCACCCAATGTTCATAGCAGTGTTACTTACAATTGCCAAGGTATGGAAGCAACCTTAGTGTCCATCAACAGATGAATGAATAAATAAGATGTGGTATATGCATACACAATGGAATACTACTCAGCTATAAAAAAGAACGAAATTTTGCCATTTGCAGCAACATGGATGGGCTTGGAGGGCATTATGCTAAGTGAAATAAGTCAGACAGAGAAAGATAAATACTGTATGGTATCACTTACATGCAGAATCTAAAAAATACAACAAACTGGTGAATAAAACAAAAAAGAAGCAGACTCACAGCTACAGACTAGTGGTTACAGTGGGGAGAAGGAAGAGGAATGGAGAAATATAGGGGTAGAGGCTTAAAAAAAAGGGTTATTATGGGACTATATGAAATCATATGTGTGAAACTTCTGAAAACTGTAAAGCACTATAGAATTTAAAGAATCTTTTATTCAATTTAAAAAGAGTTAATAAAAAAAAACCTTGGAATATCCTGACTGATGGGAGTATCTTTGTTATGCTAATGAGGTGACTCATCCTGGGTCTTTGGATTGCTTCCAGTTGGGGGTCACCATAAAGACCAATCATCTGATTAGAAGGTTGGAACTTTAGGCCAGATCAACCTCCCAGGAGGGAAGGAAGGCAGTTGACTGACCTCAACCACAGGGTCAATGAATTAATCAATCATGCCTAGTCATGAAACCCCATATACAAACTCTGGACAACAAAGTACAGCGGAGGGACTTCCCTGGTGGTCCAGTGGTAAAGAATCCACCTTTGGACAACAAAGTACAGCGGAGGGACTTCCCTGGTGGTCCAGTGGTAAAGAATCCACCTTGCAATGTAAGGGACATGGGTTTGATCCCTGGTCAGGGAACTAAGATCCCTTATGCCGTGGGGCAACTAAGCCTGCGCGCCTCAACTATCGAGCCCGAGTGCCGCGAACTACAGAGCGCACTCGCTCTGGAACCTGCACACAAGTAGAGAGAGAAAACCCTCATGCCACAACTAGAGAGGTCTGAGCGCCACAATGAAGAGCCCACGCGCCCCAATAAAAGATCCAGCGCGCCTCAATGAGGATCCCACATGCCACAACTAAGACCCGACGCAGCCAAAAATAAATAAAATAAAATAAATAAATAATAAATAAATCGTTAAAAAAAAAAAAGTTCAGGAGAGACTCCCAGTTGGTGAACACTGATGTGCTGGGACTGTGATGTGCCAGGATTCCACAAACAGAAGGAATCCCTCTATTGCCTCCAGATTTTGGCCTGAGTGTGTCTTCCATTTGGCTGTGCCTGAGTTGCATCCTTTATAATAAAACTGTAATCATAAGGATGGTGCTTTTAGGGAGTTGAGTCATTCTAGTGAATTACTGACCCTGAGCGCATTGTGGGAAGCCTAGTTGGGTGGACTGGGACCTTATTTGAAGATGTTGTCTGAAGTAAGGGCAATCTGTTTGGCATCCTGCTCTTTCACTTGGGGGATCTGATGCTAACTCTGGAACTGAACTGAGTTGATCTCAAAATACAGACACCAAAGCTGTAAGTGACAAAAGAAAAAAACCGATAGACTGGACTTCATCAGAATTTAAAACTGTGTTTCAAAAGACACCACAAAGCAAGCAAAAAAGACATCCCATGGAATGGGAGAAAATAGTTGCAAATCATACATATGATAAGGAATTTGTGTCTATAATATATAAAGAACTCATAACTAAATAATAAAATGATAACCCAATTAAAAAATAGGCAAAGAACCTATATAGGTATGCCTTCAAAGAAGGTATACAAATGGCCAACAAACACAAAAATGGATGCTGAATATCATTGGTCACCAGGGAAATGCAAATCAAAACTGCAATGAGATACCACTTCACACCTACTAGAATGGCAATAATCAAAATGACAATAATAAGTGTTGGTGAGGATCTGGAGAAATTAGAACTTTCATATACTGCTAGTGGAATGTAAAATGTTGCATCATATGATATCTCTATATTTAACCTTTTGAGGACCTGCTAGATTGTTCTCCAAAGTGGTCAGGGGTTTCTTTAAGGGTGATGAAAATGTTCTGAAATTAGATAGTGGTGATGGTTACACAACTCTGTGAATATACTAAAACCCACTGAATGTGATGTGTGAATTCTATCTCAAAAATCTGTTATTAAAAAAAATTAAAAATTGGCTAGGTGAAATATATTTGGAAAGTTATTTAAATAGATAAGCATTTAAGTGATATTTAACCCTCCATTTTTTAGATTTGTCTTTAGAAAGAAATTTGAGATACACACAGACATACATATACAGGACCTTAATTTCTTCCTTCCCCAAATGTTATCATCACCCTTCTCAAAGCTTAAGCTCCAGTGTCAGTGGTTTAGAAGGCAGTTGGGCAGTGAGTGAGGTCAAAGCCTGGTCATCAATTAATCCACTCCTGAATAATCAAGTGTTGTAAATCCAGATTAACAAACAAACAAACAAAAGATAGTTAATTCTTCTTTCAGTTGGCCTGACCTGTTCGGTGCTCTTAAAGCAACACCCCTCCAAGGAAATGTAATACAGCTAAAGTTGTATTAAACGTCTATAAATCAAAATTTTGAGAGGAAATCAAACAGATCACAATATCATTAAAAGCACAGCCACACTCTGAAATTGGCTGTGGATATATTATACATTGCCCACTTCTCTTTTCCCTAATTGTGAATGCAAAACCAGTGAATGGCAGTAATACACAGTATGCAATAGCACTAGTTTTTCTTATTCGCTGGAACTAGAACATCTATAGTAACGTTTAACAGTGCTAATAATATATTACTTCTAAGGATTCCTACATTCTTCTTGAAGGTACACATCTAAATATCTTTCTCAAGTCTCTTGATCATTTGTCACTTGAAAAGGCTCCCTTTCATCCCAAGAGGTCAAACAAGTTTGCAGCTTATTCCTTTTTAAATGGAGCCAAAGCTGACTTACATCTATGAGAGCAAGACAGTTTGAAAGAAACAATACTGCAAACACGGGGGTCACAAATTCAGATAGCTGTATCACTCAGACTAGTAAATGGACATGAGGGAATCAAGTCAAGGGTGATGCAATAAAAAGTGGTGAAGGGGCTTCCCTGGTGGCGCAGTGGTTGAGAGTCTGCCTGCCGATGCAGGGGACACGGGTTCGTGCCCCGGCCCGGGAGGATCCCACACACCTCGGAGCGGCTGGGCCCGTGAGCCATGGCCGCTGAGCCTGCGCATCCGGAGCCTGTGCTCTGCAACGGGAGAGGCCACAACAGTGAGAGGCCCGCGCGCTGAGCCTGCGCGTCGACGCAACGGGAGAGGCCACAACAGTGAGAGGCCCGCATAACGCAAAAAAAAAAAAAAAAAAAAAAAAAAAAAAAAGTGGTTAGGAACTGAAGCAGACATGACAGCATGACATCCTGAAGGCCAACTGGTCGTTATGTAGTTTGGGCCTCATATTGCCAGATCTTCTCATTTTTCTCAAAAACTCAGAAATCTGGATTTTTAGGTGACCTCTTAGGATTAAATGTTAACAACATAATTAAAGAAATTTGACACCCCCCCCATTCTGATTACTTATAGGTTGTTTTAAGGGCTAAACTTTCAGTTTGGTCTTTCTACAATAGGCACCATGTTCACTTGGGTATCAAATGTTAGTTTTGATGTATTCAATAGTTACTTAGCACCAAAAACATTTTCAAGTTCACAGCAATACTGCAGATTGAGAAAATACGGCAAATTCCTGCAAACAGCTTTGGGCTCTGATGACACTCATTCTAGGCATGGTTCATAAGGAAATAAGGCTAGACTCCTGTGCCACACAGACTTTCCCATTTAAGTATATTTAACAGAACAGATACCTCTCCCGCCCCCCACCAGCTTGAAGACACAGTCTCCCAGGGGCAAACTTCAAGAAAGTTTCCAAAAAAAAAATTTTTTTTTTAATCTAACCCCTGACATACATTTTGGCTTCTACTCCATAATATAACCACGGTTGTTTTCATATAAAAGCTGTGCCGCTGTTTCTCTCAGTAAAATGTATCATGTTTATTTCGCAGCTTCACATAGTCCTGCAGGACAAGGTTCCCTTATTCCAAGGCACAGGTAGGTCTTCCTGCTTGAGAAGCAAAAAATCCGAGTTTTACCAAGTAAAGCTTTTTTTTTTTTTCCTGGAAGCCAAGGGCCCTTCTTGGAAGTCAGAGCTTTAAGGAGTGATGCATAAACACTACTACTCGGAAAGATTTTAGTTTTAACATTACTATTCTGCAAGGGCCTGGTGAATGAGGTTTCGTGATTTAGTGAAGACAGCCATTTTTGGTTTAACGCATCTTTTAGTCTTAGGACCATTACAAATATTTTCAGATTAACACACTGCATTTTTCAACCTCATGTGCCTTGGAGGCATCGCGCGCCTTTACACTTGTCTATCAGCCCCCCCGACGACAGGACGGATCGCCTCCTGTCCCTCGTCATTCCCTCCAGGACAAATTTCGTCCTCCGTCTTCTCACAAAGATCCTTCTTCCCGAAGCCCAGAGGCCGGGCAACGCCTCTCGGCGCAGCAGCGGCGGGAGGAGGAAAAGGAGGAGGAAAAGGAGGGGGAGGAGGAAAGCGGGCCCCTGGGACGCCGGCCTGCGGGAAGCTCCGCAAATACAAGCGGGAGCGATCCCCGCTTCGGGAAGGGCCCGGCCCAGCAGAGGTGTCGGTCCAGCCACCCAGGACGGCAGGGCACGGAGGCGGGGCGGGAGACGGGTCGGCGCAGCGACTGCTCCGGCCTCGGCCGCGGGGATGTGGGGTGAGGGCCACGGAGGACCGGCCGGACCCAGGCGCCGCTCAGAACGCACAAAGGGCCCCGGCCAGCCGGCCGCCCGCGGTGTCCTCACCTGTGCCCGGCGGCCGATCCTCCGAAGCCGCCGCGCCACCGGGAGAAGCGCTGCGCCACGCCGCCGAAACACGACGCGCGACAGCCTGAGTGGTGGCGCCTTCTCCGACTCCGCCGCCCGGGTCTCCCGGTTCGGCTCCCGGGAACGAGCCCCGCCCCCCTGGGCGTGCCCCGCCCCCGCCCCAGACTGGCGAGAGTCCCGGATGTTCCCTCCTCCGGCGCCCCAAGTCCCGCCCTTTCTCGGCGGCCCTGGCCCCTCGGAATCCGCTCCGGGTCCTGCGCGGCCCAGAAAGAGTTTTGCCGTCTCTTGGATGGCTAGAGCGTCCTCCCGCGCTCTGTCGCGCTGCAGGTGACGGCGCCCGGAGGCTGTCGGGAAGTAGGCGGGGTGACGTGAGGTTGACGAGCCAAAGGCGGGTTTGCAGAGCTCAGTGGCCGGAGGCGGCTGGATTGGGGGTGGGTGGGTGCCGGAGCCGGAGGTGGAGCGGGGCGGCGTGTGGCCGGGGCCATGACGGGCAATGCTGGGGAGTGGTGCCTTATGGAAAGCGACCCCGGGGTCTTCACCGAGCTCATTAAAGGATTCGGTGAGAGCCAAGGGGACCGTACTGGGCCGGGGGTCACGGGAGGAGGCCTGAGCTGGGCACGGAGTGCTTCCCTGCGGCCTCCGCCGCCCAGCGTCTGAAGGGAGGCGACTCTCTAACCGTGGAGTCGGGGAGGGGGAAAGGCAGGGCTCCGGTCCCTCCTTGGTCCCGGCCAGTCGCGTTTCCGTGGTGATCTGAGAGCCACACCGCGAGGGCAGGAGCGTGTCCCCGGAACTCGGCGCTCCAGTACTAGCTTCACTGACCTGAGCCCCCGCCCCGGTTCCCCCCCCCCCACTTTACGTACCGATTCTTCCCTTTGCACCACGGGGCGCCCCCATTCCGGGCAGGGGTGCCCAGGTACGTGTCTCAGGCCATCGGTGCTACAGGAAAAGTCGGATGCGCCTTGTCGAAGGTGGGGTGTCCAAGGCCCAAGCCGCGCCGGAACCTGACATTCGAGTTATTCGGAGCAGAACCCCTCGAGTGTGTGCCCAGCCCTGCGAACGTCCGCACAGGCTGGCAGCGTGGGACGCACGGACCACCTCGCTCGTTCTGCTCATTTTGTGGCCTCCGGGGAAGTGTGCTTTCTCCACCTAGTGCTCCAGAGGCCACATGCTTGCCTCGTAATTTCTTTCTGACTCTGTTCCTTATCTCTGGTCCTAAGTAACCAACATATTTGACTTTGTAGCCTTCCCTGTCCCTGCAGCTCTTCTTTGGCTGTAAGTTTATTTTTATCTGTTATTTCTCAAGTATTAATTTTAGCTCTTACGTTAAAACTTGTACATGAGGTGGAAATTCAACATTGATATAGATAACTGTTTGTTGTACGTAGCTGACTGTTTGGATATCATGTATTGGGCATATATTGTTTACCTGCTATGTCTGACACATTGGTAGGGTTTGGATATTTTTAATGTGAATAAAGCATGACTGCTGTTCTAAAGAACTAACAAGCAAATTATAATATGGCGTATTAATTGCTACATTAGAGTAGGTACACACAGGTCGTGGAAGAGCACAGGCAGAAGGAAAGGCATAAACAGTAGTGGTGGTAAAGTATATGACTTAGGGAACAGCTGGGAAAGTGACTAAAGCATGATGTAACAGACTTCAGGAGTATTTCAATCCGAAGCTGAAAAGATTGTGTGCCATGTTGTGTAGTATGGATTGCCCTGTAGTCCCTGGGGACTTAGCTGTCAAAGATATTTCAAGGCTGAAATGATATTTTTATAATTTAAAAAGATTTACTACTTGTAGTGTGCAGGGTAGATTGCATGAAGTAAGAGAAGCTAGAAGCCTCTTAAAATGGTCAGAATTTGAGATGATTGGCTCCACACATAAAGTAGTGATTTGGAGAGGAGGAGGTCGATTCAATAATTTTTGCTATATTTAAATCCACAGGACTGTTAACTGCTGGGATGTAGGGAAAAAGAGGTGACAGTGACTCTAGTTTCTAGCTTGGGAGACTGGTGAAGTACAAGTACAAGAGAAGAGTAGGCTTGATGGACAAGAAAGTGGGTTCAGCTTTGGACATACACTGAGTTTGAGATGTCTGCAGGTTTTAGCCATAAACTTTACCTTCAAAACCTTAACTATTATGACATGTTAGAGTTAACCTTAAGAAACGTTGTATCAGGCAAATTTGTTTATTTTAAAATTAGTCCATTCTGTTAACAGCTTTTGCTCCAATTTCGTACGTGCAGAAAACTTGGAATTGAAAATGATTTAAATAAAAGCATGCATAAGAGACTGCCATGGAACTGCACCTTCTGTACCTGCACAAATGAAAACTGAAGCTATAGTTATTAGACTGGTTTAATTAGCAGAAGAAGAACTTTGCAAAAAGTTAAATGATGGTAGTTGTATATCACCATCAGATGCTTCAAAGAGACTGAGTTTATTCCAGTCATTTTCTTTTTTCCTCATTCAATTCATGGATTTAAAAAACCTTTGGGGGCTTCCCTGGTGGCGCAGTGGTTGAGCGTCCGCCTGCCGATGCAGGGGATACGGGTTCGTGCCCCGGTCCGGGAAGATCCCACATGCCGCGGAGCGGCTGGGCCCGTGAGCCATGGCCGCTGAGCCTGCGCGTCCGGAGCCTGTGCTCTGCAACGGGAGAGGCCACAACAGTGAGAGGCCCGCGTACTGCAAAAAAAACAACAACAAAAAAAAAACCTTTGGAAGTTTATTCTTTCAAAAGTGAAACATCTTATTGTATTATGAATGCTATTGTAGATTTAAGTTTCTTCATTGAAGGGGAAATTATTTCTGAGTTCAGTGAATATATTAAATAAAATTTTTGATGGAATATAACGTCATGGTAAAACAAAGTTCTTATTAAGAAACTGATGGAGCAGAACTATACTTTTAATTGATACAATGCATACGTAATTCATAAATGCAGCAAAACAAACTAGGATAGTCTACTAATTAAAAATAGAGGCTGTATATTTTTGCTTCCAGCCAAGATAGAGTAACAGGGACTAGATTTACTACAACAAATCAGTGACCTCAGCTTTCCCTTCAAGAAACTAGAAGAAGATGAGTAAATTAAACCTAAAGTAAGCAGATAAAAGGAAGTAATAGAGATCAGAGTTGAAATTAGTAAAACAGAAAAGAGAAAAATAGTGGAGAAAGTCAATGAAACCAAAAGCTGGTTTCTCAAAGATCAATAAAATGCATAAACCTGTAGTCAGACTGATCAGAGGAAAGAGAGGAGACAAATGACTAATATAAGGAATAAGAGAGATGACATCACTACATATTCTACAGATTTTTAAAAAATACTAAATAGTTATTTTTTGGCTGGATTGGGTCTTCGTTGCTGCGTGTGGGCTTTCTCTAGTTGCGGCGAGCGGGGGCTACTCTTTGTTGCAGTGCACAGGCTTCTCATTGCAGTGGTTTCTCTTGTTGCGGAGCACAGGCTCTGGGCATGAGGGCTTCAGTAGTTGTGGCACTTGGGCTCAGTAGTTGTGGCTCACAGGCTTAGTTGCTCCGTGGCATGTGGGATCTTCCCGGACCAGGGATCAAACCCATGTCCCCTGTGTTGGCAGGCGGATTCTTAACCACTGCAACACCAGGGAAGTCCCAGATTCTACAGATCTTAAAAGGATAAGTGAATATTTTAATATTTATGCAAATAAATTTGACAACTTGGATGACATGTCCAAATTCCTTTAAAGACGGAAATTACCAAAGTTCACTCAAGAGGTAATAAATAAACAGTATAGCCTTATGTGTAGGCTATAAAAATACTCCCCAAGAGTATTTTTCTTGGAGAGAAAGACTCCAGGTATATTTTTAAGAAAATTATTTTTAGAATTGTTTTTTGAATAGACTGTTTTATGGAGCCACCAGTACTATAATACAAATGTGTTAGTCAAGATATAAATATTTTAAAACAATTTAAAAATTTATTTAATGTCCTGTTAAGTAAAATCAATTTAATAAAAGCAGTGTTCTGGTTTGAATGACAGATTATTTGGTCATCCTATTTAAGACCCAGTTCAACTATTTTAAAATTATTTATTTAATTAATTTTTTTGGCCGCGCGGCATGTGGGTTCTTAATTCCCTGACTAGGGTTCAAACCTGAGCCCCTTGCATTGGAAGCAGGGAGTCTTAACCACTGGACCGCCAGGGAAGTCCCCCAGTTTAACTATACATTAAAGTTTTTTCTGATCAGCAAGGATAGTTGGCTACCTCTTAACTTCCAGGAGGCATCCCATGTTCCTTTTATATGCAAAATATGCAGACTGCACAGTCTCTGAGTTATATGAGCTTGTTTCCTACTAGGTTGAAGTTCTTAAGCATTGTTAAAATAGTTTATTATTTCCTGTCCTTGTTAGGGCCTAATACCATGCTTGGCACATACTTTCAACCTGCGGTTGGTTGAATCCGTGGACCCAGAACCCGTTGGGTACAGAGGGCTGAATGTATTTGTTAAATACCAGTGAATCGTTAACTTTTTAAAGCCTACCCCCCACCCCACTCAGCTTTTTACTTAATATATATTAGAGGAATCAGCATGGTGATTCTTTTGTGTTTGGTATTTGAGAACGTATACCTCACAAGAATTGTGTGGATTGGATGAAGCAGGTAGTATTCTTGTTTTAAACATGAGGAAAGTGAGGCTCAAAGACATGTTCTCACTCAAGGTAAAGAACTTAAAGGCAGTGCTAGAATTACAATCCAGTTCTCTTGAATCATTGCTTATTTCTCTTTCCATTATACCATGCATTATTTGAAATTGAATGTACATAGGGGGATTATTAGAATTGAATGTATATAAGGAGATAGATGCTAACAGTTAAGTACTATGTTTTCATTACACAGAGATGTGTATGTGTCTAACATAAGGTTATTTAAACAGTGTCACCACTTGAAATTATACCTTTGCAAAAGATTTTGGGGCTCTTTTAATTCAGTGGCTTTTGTTGTGTTTTTGTATGATATGTGCAATGTTTTAACGTTTGGCCTTTTTACAGTTGATTTCCAATAGCATAACCAGTGTTAACAAGTGCATTAGTGTTCTTTTGTGCCCTTTCTTGATAACACGTATAAATATAGGTTCACACTTAAAACAAGCTTTTTTTCCCAACTTAATGTATGTGGACGTCTAGCAACCTGTTCTAGACATTCAGGTTGTTTCTAGTTCTTCTCTACTACACATAACGAAGTAACTCTCCTTGTACCTGTATCTTTAATGGTTGGGTGGGAGCTAATAGATATTTGCTGAGCAGAGCAAATTGAGATACTGAATGGTATGGATGCCCAAAGTCACATAGTTGGTTGGTTCAGTATTTTTCTTTTTTAAACCACAGATTTTTGCATGTGATCTAAAGGCTTCTCCAGCACTCACTTGAAAATAATCTGGAACGATAGAAAGTGCCCAGACTTTGGAACCAGACATGGGTTATAATTAACTTTTTGGCATATATTAGTTGTAGTGAATTTAGATAAGAAACCTAACATCCCTAAGCCTCTTCCATATAATACTTTCCTTGCAGGGATTAGAGAAAATGCATTCAGAGCACTTTACACATTGCAGTTACTGGTAAATACAGCTGTTTTTTTCTGTTGTGATCATAATGCTACCTGACATTTTGCCGAGGCACAACTAGGGCACGGTTCTCGACCTTGGTACTCTTGCCTTGCCTTGCAGGGATTAGACACTTTGGGCCCGATAATTCATTTTGTCTTGACACTTTGGGGCAGATAATTCTCTGTTGTCAGGGGCTACTCTGTGCAACGTAGGATGTTCAGTATCTCTGGCCTCTACCTACTAGATGCTACCTCCCCGCCCCCCAAGTGACAGTAGGGACAGTAAAAATGTCTTCAGACATTTTGAGATGTTCCCTGGAGGGGGTGGGGGGTGCAGAGGCATAAAAAACATCATCCTGGTTGAGAACCACTGTTGTAGAAGAACATATTTGGGGGACTCTGATGTGGTTGATATTAAATTTTTAAAGTATAGAATTGGAATTTAGGAAAAGGGTCAGAACTAAATAGTGTTCTGAAATTCACTGTTAAGTGGTAGCTATTTATTACCACTTTATTTATTTATTTATTTTAATATTTATTTTTGGCTGCGTTGGGTCTTTGTTGCTGTGTGCGGGCTTTCTCTAGTTGCAGCGAGCGGGGGCTACTCTTCGTTGCGGTGCGCGGGCTTCTCATTGCGGTGGCTTCTCTTGTTGAGGAGCACGGGCTCTAGGCGCGCGGGCTTCAGTAGTTGTGGCTCGTGGGCTCTAGAGCGTAGGCTCAGTAGTTGTGGCACACGAGCTTAGTTGCTCCTTGGCATGTGGGATCTTCCCGGACCAGGGCTCGAACCCGTGTAACCTGCATTGGCAGGCAGATTCTCAGCCACTGTGCCACCAGGGAAGCCTCTATTACAAGTGTACAGTAAGGAGGGCTTCCCTGGTGGCGCAGTGGTTGAGAGTCCGCCTGCCGATGCAGGGGACACGGGTTCGTGCCCCGGTCCGGGAAGATCCCACATGCCGCGGAGTGGCTGGGCCCGTGAGCCATGGCCACTGAGCCTGCGCGTCCGGAGCCTGTGCTCCGCAACGGGAGAGGCCACAACAGTGAGAGGCCCGCGTACCGCAAAAAAAAAAGAAAGAAAAGAAAAAGTGTACAGTAAGGAAAAGAGGGGGCTGCGGGCAGAGCTGTGGAAACATAGCAGCTAAGTGAAGGGAGTGGATGAAGAGGAGCCAGAGATTGAGAGAGACTGAGAAGGAGCCATGGGGTGGCGTCCAGTGAAAATAAACCTTGAAACTTTTTAAAGTTGTCAAAGGAATATGCTCCCAGTGTAATAATTAGGAAATAGTAAAGGTAGCACTAGGATTTGACTGCGAGCTTTATCAGTTTTACCATTTTAATTTGTCATGTCTTATCACCCCCAAATATGCTTTTCTTTCAGTTAATATTTTATTTAATGGCGAAGGAAAAAAAACGAGTTATTTTGTCTTCTGAAGAAATAATTTCTTATTTCAGGTTGCCGAGGAGCCCAAGTAGAAGAAATATGGAGTTTAGAGCCTGAGAATTTTGAAAAATTAAAGTAAGTATATTTTTACTTATGTTAAATGTAATATGTCTAGGGCTTCCCTGGTGGCGCAGTTGAGAGTCCGCCTCCCGATGCAGGGGACACGGGTTTGTGCCCCGGTCCGGGAAGATCCCACATGCCGCGGAGTGGCTGGGCCCGTGAGCCATGGCCGCTGAGCCTGCGCGTCCGGAGCCTGTGCTCTGCAACGGGAGAGGCCACAACAGTGAGAGGCCCGTGTACCGCAAAAAAAAAAAAAAAAGTAATATGTCTATACTTAAGCAAACTTTCATGAGTTTATTTTACTTGGGTTACCTTAGGCTGAACACATTATCTCCTTTAAGATTTTTTTCAACTGTCTGAGGTAGGTATGATTCCCATTTTATAACCAAGAACCTGAGGCTCATAGATAAGTAATTTGCAAGGGATTCAAAACTAAGTCTCTGTAATTCCATATCAACAAAGTACTGATAGGTTGATTTTTTTACAACTTTCACTTATAGATCAATACTGTTAGAACATGGAACACATTTTATCATAAAACACATGAATAATAGGCCAGTCTACAAAACTATATTTGACAGATAATGTATATTAATAGTAATTCAGAACTTAAAAAAATTTAATTAATTTTTGGCTGTGTTGGGTCTTCATGCTGCACGCAGGCTTTCTCTAGTTGCTGCGAGTGGGGGCCACCCTTCGTTGCGGTGCGTGGGCTTCTTATTGCGGTGGCTTCTCTTGTTGCAGAGCACGGGCTCTAGGTGCGTAGGTTCAGTAGTTGTGGCTCATGGGCTCTAGAGCGCAGGCTCAGTAGTTGTGGCGCACGGACTTAGTTGCTCCGCGGCATGTGGGATCTTCCCGGACCAGGGCTCCAACCCGTGTCCCCTGCATTGTCAGGCGGACTGTCAACCACTGCGCCACCAGGAAGTCCCAGAACTTTTTTTTATACATTATTACATTGCTTCTTGGGGAGGTTACAGTTCAGATTCCAATGTTGATGCCAGGAAGTACCTTCCTCTTACTCTGTCTTTCTGATTTCTCTGGGCCTTTCCTTAACCCCCAACCTCCAAGCATTGACCCTGGATTGCAAATGGAGGGCTAGGGAGTTTTCACTGCGGGGAGCATTCTTAGGTCCTGGAATGGGGACTGTAGGGATATGTTTCTTATAGTAAGGAGACAGTTCCCTCCCCCCTATTTTCTTCTTCCCCACAAAGAGAGCAGTCGTTTTAGATGGAATAAGAGAGAAATTCTGGCTGGATGATCAGGGAAGGTTAATTAAAGATGCATTTGACCTGTCTTTAAGGGATAGGAAAGATTTTTGTTGCATGGAAGGCGGTGGTGAAAGATAGACTGGAGAGAATCCTAAAGTGATTTAACGGTTTGTGGGCAACAACCGTTCCTTTGGGGAGGTGGTGATTTCATTATGTGTGAGATGCAACATCCAGTCATACTGTAGTGTGACGGTTGCTCATGCATCCACTAATTATATGAAGGCGACGTCCTATATTTCAGTGTTTATGCTAGCAGCCATTTATCTGTAAACATCCTATGTGAACTTTATTCATGTATATCAGAATTCAGTCTAGGGTTAACAGCTTCTTCTAGTTTTGCTAAGTTCTTTCTGTTTTTAAGTGAGGTAATATAAGGTAGAATTGAATAATGCACAGATTTGAGATTATTCCTTTCATTATAATTCCATTTTAATTGATGTATTTTTTTTAAGTTTTGTTAGCTGTGTCTTGGGCAACATTCTAGTAACTATGAACAGCAATAGAAATCTTAAAAAAATTTCTTAAATATTCTTCATTTGCATTGTATTTGTTAAGTAAATGACCAAAACTTAACATATTGACAGTGTGTTAAAAGAAGCAAGGTTTGGTGTCACTAATTTGTATTTTTTTGTTTTATAGGCCAGTTCATGGGTTGATTTTTCTTTTCAAATGGCAGCCAGGAGAAGAACCAGCAGGCTCTGTGGTTCAGGACTCCAGACTTGACACAATATTTTTTGCCAAGCAGGTATGGTCCTTGGATACTGTGGAGTCTCAAAAGCAACCCTCTTTACAAACAGGACTCTTCCACCTGTGTCTCTAGTGTAGCAGTTCTCAAACTTTCTTGGTTCTAGGACTCCTTCACATTCTTAAAAATTATTGAGATCCCCAAAGACCTTCTGTTTATATGGGTTATATTTATTAGTATTTATCATTTAGACATTAAAACTGAGACATTTAAAATATTTATTAATTGCCTTAAAAGTAACAATAAATTCATTACATGTTAATGATAATGTATTTTTTTAATGAAGCATAAATATCTTTACCAAAGCAAAAGAGTAGTGAGATGAGTGCATTATTTTACATTTTTATAAATATCTTTAATGTCTGGCTTAATATTAAGCACACAGCTGGATTCTCCTATCAGCTTCTTTATTCAGTCTGTTGCAATATTTTCATTTTGTTTTGTTTTTGGTTGAAGTATATGATTTAGTCTCACACATATGTGTAGTTGGAGAGGGAGAAGTATGTTAATTTCTTTTCCAGGAAATTATGGATATTCTTTGATATTATATCAAAACTCCAGAAATGTTCCTCTCCTAAAGATTGGTTGCAGTGTGAAATCTGAGATCATATTAATGAACTTTGTACTTTGATATATAAAAATCCTTTGGTTTATCTTGTTCTTCAAAAGGATCTTTTACTCTTGGAGGATCTTATAACATTGTGCATTGGTCATTTTGAAAATTTACCGACTTCGGCAGATTTTCTAAATGTTGACACATGATTATATATGTTATCAACAAGTCACATGTGTTAATATCAGCATCTCTATCATTAGAAGAATTGATAAGTATCCTGAAACTTTTTTTTTTTTTTTTTTTTTTTTTTTTTTGGGGT